GTTAACGACAATATCTGTGAAGTTAGCGGGGAGGCGTATAGGGCGGAGTTTCCCGGTTTTGAAGGGCCTGTGGTGGTAGGACTGGAAGGTGTAGTCCCTGATGAGAAGATCAAGCAGGCGGGGGGATGATCTTATGGGTTGACATTTTGTGGAAGCAAAGGAAAAAAGTAGTAGTAGAGTTAGTGAAAGAAGTAGAGAGGACATTTTCCTAAGTTGTAGTATCTAATACTCCAGGTCGTACATTTGAATACCAAGGGACAAGATTGCTTTGTATGCGTAGCACGCTTTGTGGTTTGGGATAAAGGGGAAAGTTTAGGATTAATTAGGAGTGGTGCACTTAGAGTAAAGAGTCATTTACTGTGGAAGGTGTAGTGGTGGTGGAAAAAGCAAATTCCGTGTTTCTTTTGGATGTTTGGATCTCATTCTTAAAATTGATTCTGCTTTTTCAAGGAGCAGAAGAAGAAGTTGGAGTATTTGAATGAAAATGCAAAAGTACTTCTGGTGCTCTAATTTACTCATAGAAGTAATTTTTCTAGAAGCTGAAGAGACCAATTTCTGAAAACTGATTCTAATTTTACTTTCACTTTAAAAAAAGAATCAGAAGCAGTTCCAAACACCCCGTTATATTGTGTCATACACTCATACTTCTTCAACTTCCATTTAATTATTTCAAACTAAAATGTATTGTGGTCATCCGTTGAATTGATCCAAAAACTGGAATTGCACAATGACATTTCGATAATAAAATCAAACTTTTTTCAAATACAATTATTTGCACGTTAATATGCAATTCTTATTTTATTGCACAATAATATGCAACTCTTGGAACATGAATATGCAATACAAATAGAGTAAATATGCATCGTATAAACGTTTGTACAATAAGCACAATTTGTATCAGATTTATCGCCTATACAATAAACACACACAACTTATCCATATATTAGACCCTAAAATAAAGATATCATAAATTTTCATGATATTTACAATATCTTAACAGAAAGCAATTGTTGCAAATATATTTGTAGTCATTATTCCGCCGCATTTGCTACTTTGTTTAACAATCTTATTAATTAGTTAGTTCTAAACACAAATTATTTTTATGTTGTAATTATTTGATTATGAAAAAAAATTATGTAGGGAAAAAACATAGTACTATACCCCTGTTTTAGAATATGTGTTGTTTTCACTCCTATTTAAGGTGTAATTTATTTAAAATAATACTCCGTATCGAATATAACCAAAATTTAAAGTACTTTAAATTTTTTGAAATGTCATCTTTTAGGCCGGCCATAAGAATGGAACATGTAGTTGTTGACCTCTCAAGAGCTGGCCAGATGCTTTCCATATGATTAATCGGAACAAGCTGGTAAGTGGTAACGAAATATTTCATGGACACATAATGATTTGGTTTAAAGCTAGTTTAGTACGCATGGGGGAATTAACATGTCAGAATGTAACATTCCATAATCATGATGTAGGAATAATGTTTCCTCATCTCTCCAAATTAAGGGAGTGTTTGTAGAAAATTAAAAAAAATGTTTTTCAGTTTTTGATTTGAAAAAAAGTTGAAAATGGTGTATGGTGTTTTCACTTCTGCTTAAATTAATCACTTAAAAGCTAAAAGCTAGAAGCAGGTTGGGGGTGCTTTAAACTGCTTTTCACTTTTTCTATTACACAAAAAGCACTTACTTTATCAAACACTACCAACTTTTACTTTTTCTTAAGCACTTTTTTCTCCAACACTACCAACTTTTACTATTAATCACTTTATCCAAAATCACTTTAAAAAATCACTTTTTTAAAGTTGAAGCAACCGCAAACACTCCCTAAATGAATTGGCCGGCTTGTTATAATTTTGGATTTGTAAACTTTTAATCTTGACATCTCTTTTAAATTGTGTCTAAAGTTTAAGTAATACTTCTCATAGAATTGATTCATTTAAGAAGTATTACGGCAAAGGCTAAAGGGTCAAATTGGCCCCTGTACCTGTTCGGAATGCTCAATTCGCACCCTGAACTCAAAAAAGCTCCAATTCACCCCTTGAACTCAACAAAAAGTTCAAATCCTACTTTTTGCAGGTTAATTTCCGGTCATTGCCACGTAAGCCGGTTAGATGCCAACCGTGCATTCCACGTGGAAATCTAAGGGGTCAAATAGACCCCTGAACCCGACAAAGTAGTTCAATTTACTCCCTCAATTGTTAAAAAGTGTCCAAATTGCCATTAAAAAAATATATAATTAAAAATAGAAAATAAAAATACAAATAATATACAAGTTCATAATATAAAATATATAAGTCTATTTATAATATGAAAATAAATTTTTTATATTTTAGGTAAATTATATATATAGGAAAATAGTACGCAAAATAAAAAATTTAATATTAATTTGTAAAAAAAATGTATGGTTGATTTTTTCAAATGGATTTAAAATATCGAAATATTTTTAATGAATTTGTTTTTTTTTGTTTTATGTGAATTTACTGCAAAAAATAGGGATATATTTATATTTACAGTAAATTCAAATAAAATAAAGTAAAATAAATTCATTAAAACTATTTTCGTAATTTTAATATGTTTTAGATTTATATGTAAAATTACACACACACATGCATATATGTATATATATATTTCGTATTATTCGATTCTAGAATTATATATTACGTACTATACTTCATACTAATTATATGCAACATAAAAATGTTATACTATAAAAAAATTATAATATGTAAATGAAATAATTACATAAATATGACCAAAATAAAGTTGATTTACAAAAATATGACTAGTTACTCGAGTAGTAATGAAATCATAGTAATTCATGTTTACATTTTGAACTTAAGTTACTACAACACTACGTTGTAGTAATGAATAGTCATATTTATGTAAATAAGTTTTATTTTAGTAATATTCTTATAAAAAACCCTATGTAAATAGCTACAGACTACTACATTTTGATATTATGTATTTAAAAATAAGTACCTTCATTATGTTTATATATATTTAATTTACCCTAAAATATAAAAATCATCTTATTATATTATAAATAGACATCTATATTTTATATTATGAACTTGTATATCATATTATAATTTTATTTTCTATTTTTTAATTTCATATTTTTTAATAGCAATTTGGACACTTTTTAACGGTTGAGGGGGTAAATTGACCAACTTTGTCGAGTTCAGGGGTGTATTTGACCCCTTAGATTTCGGCGTGGGATGCACGGTTGGCATCTAACCGGCTGACGTGGCGATTACCGGAAATTAACCTGCAAAAAGTGGGATTTGAATTTTTTTTGTTGAGTTCGGGGGGTGAATTGGAGTTTTTTTGAGTTCAGGGTGCGAATTGAGCATTCCGAACAGGTATAGGGACCAATTTGACCCTTTAGCCTACGGCAAATATCATGTTTTTTCATACACTTAAGTTGCGCATCCAACACTCGTTGATTTAGCCATTTCAATAAGATTGACCATGTAATGGTTGGATGATATGATCGTTTTTCAAATACTAATATTGATGGTGTTATGGAACCGGACAGATAAATACTAAAAGGCCATTCGGGCCCGACCTAGATTGACAAATTCAAGGGTGAAAAAGTCGGGCTTGGGATTGCCAACCCAACAAAATAGATACTACGACCACTGGTCTAATAGGGATTGGCCCGGGAATGTCGATCCCATTGGAAAGACCTCGGGACTGCCGACTTCACAGATATGCCCAGGATTTCCAAACCAATTCACAAGGGCCGACCCCACGGAGCCATAGTCCCGGGTCGCATTCGCTGATTGGGCCAACCTGGAAGCAGGGCCGGTCCAGAGAAATTACGGGCCCTGTGCAAAAATAAAATGTGGGCTTTTTTCTAAAATAAATAGAACTATAATACAACTAACATATACTCCTTCTGTCCCAAAATAAATGTATTTTTTGCTTTTGCACAAGTTTTAAGAAAATGGTTGAAAGGGTTAAAGTTGTGGTTGAAATTTGAGTAGCAAAAAGTGAATTGATATGAGTCACATTTTATTGCTAAAAGAGGAAACAAAATAATTATTTTGGGACGGACCGAAAAGGAAAGTATGACATTTATTTCAAAGTGAATTGATATGAGCCATATATATTTGTAAAAATTTGAAAATAATAAGTGAAGATTATATTTATAAAAATTTGCTACAATAATAATTTATATCAAAATATAAGTTATTCACTAACTTAATAGTGAAAATAAAAGTATTCCTTAACAAAATACACTTCATTTATTTGTTAAATAGAATTATAAATTAATAGACTGATAATGTAATATCTACCAGTTTACTAATTTAATAATGACATATAATATAAAAAATAGTTACTAATATGATTACAAATCAATATTAATCATTAATATTAATCATGGCATTATATAAAAACGTAAGTTGAAAGAATGTTACCATTAACGAAATGGTTGAGTTGGTTCGTACTACCAATACGTGGGAGAGTGTCATGGGTTTGAAACCTCCTAGCAGTTGAATTTTTTAATTGAAGCTACGGATTTACCGTTTGGGCTCCTAGGAAGACTATAAATATTGGGCCCTAAGAATTCATGGGCCCTGTGCGGTTGCACTGGTGGCACCTGCCCTGGGCCGGCCCTGCCTGGAAGCCAGGTTCGGGCACAACATAGGAGGGTTAACCGTCTTACTACGGTTATGTTTTGCAATGCCTCTATATAAACCTCACCCAAAGTCATTGTATATTGAAACACAAAATTACTATACTATTTTTGCACATGATTCTTACTTGAGTTTTCTATCGAAGTCTTTAATGACCTACGAGCATTCTATTTTGGACAACACCATGATTGAATTGTTAGATCCTTAGCTGGCACTGTTTAGATGGGTAGACTTAATACTGAATAGGTCATTATAATTATGTGTTATTGGGTTAAGACATTATAATTATGTGTTAATGTGTTAAGATAGACTTTAATAGACATATAATAGTGTAGATATCTAATATTTTGAAATGTTTGAAAGGCGATATGATATTACTACATACGATTGAAGTTACACAAATACACATAACACATTATATTCATCTTATTTCACCATCTAAACTCGAGAGTTGAGAAATGGTGAGGAAGTGCAATAATGATACTTTTATAGCTTATACAATTTCATCATATATATGAACTACTCCAGCATATGATGAGTTGATCGGCTATAAATTACTCCCCAAACAGCAATCAGAAGTGCAAGTACTGCTCCGGTCCGAAAAGGATTGTTCTTGATGAATACTTGTGTCCTAGAATTTATCCCCTGAAATGTTTATTCATTAATCAAGAATTAATAAACAACCCAACCATAATAATTAATTGAGCAAGAAAATAAAATAATGACTACAAGGATGCTTTTACTTGGACTTATTTCAAACTAGTTCAGAGACCAAGTAAAAATATCCTAAGTCTATAACTATAGGCAAGATTGTAAGAAGAGATCATTGGATTATTGACATTAAGTTTGTATTATTGACATTGACTTATGGAGTTATGGGACATATATGTTGAAAGCTATTTGAAGCACATATAGCTTCTCAAAGTGACCAATGTGGTACCTCAATAGTGCAATTGACATTTTTTCTTACTTCAACCATGACACCTTTCATCATCTCTGTGGATGTAATATGTGTTACAACTGTTTTGGACGGCTGAACCTGCACAAATGCCATTACATTGTAAGCATTTTTTTCGGAAATTAATACAAATAATTAATTCACATGCATCTTTAAGTCCAGGGACGGAGCCAAGACACTGGGCCGGACTGGACCGGTACAAAGAATATTTTTGAAAAATATTTTACTCGGAATTTTTTACCGTAAAAATTTAGACATTTTTAAAATTTGGGCTGGACCATGGCCAGAGATGGCCACCCCTATCTATGCCCCTGTTTAAGTCCATCAATATATGTGTACAGATGCATAAAAGTGTAGAATTAGTGTATAACCTTTAGAGGTGCGGTTTGATGATGGTACGCCATCATCCGAGTAACCTTTCTCTGAGCATTAGTTTTTGAAGCTTGGAACGGCTAGATATTATAAAAGTAGAAAAATATCATTAACAATGCCATGGTTGGTGAATACTTAAACAGATGCAAATTGAAGAACAATTTGCAAGAATATATGAGTGCAAATAAGGGGGTGTTTGGATCTGAATCTTACAACTGTTTTAAGAAACAGAAACAGTTTTAAGAAGCTGAAGTGTTTGAGTGAAAGTGCAGAGGTAATTCTAATGTTCTAATTTACTCCTAGAATCAGTTTTTTAGAAGCTAGGGAGACTAGCTTTTGAAAACTGATTCTGAATTTGCTTCTGCTTTAAAAAAGAATCAGAAGCAGAATCAGTTCCAAACACCCCGCTAATAATAAAATTGAAATTCGACCCTTTGACACTAGCGATGAGGCTACACCCAAAAAATAGAGTGTTGCATTTTAGAATCGGAAATCGAAGAGTCGATTAGAATCAAATCGAACAATTGGGTTACAAGTTTTTTACAGTTCAGTTCCTCATCTTATTAACGATTCGACTCCTGATTCCTAAAAAAATATGATAGCGGAAAAGCCAGAGAACCGTTGTGTAATATATTTGTATTTACCTTTAATTTGTACTTCGTATTTATTATTAATGTTAATGTATATGTTAATCTTTTTTTAATCTTATGTTAATCTTATTAATAATGTTAATGTTAATGCTTACATTTATGTTTATGTTTATATGTGTAATATAGTATAGCTAAGGTTAGTCAAAGTATTGTATACACCATAATAAATAAATTATAAAAGTCTATAATTGTGTAAGTTACTACTAGTTTGGCTGTTTATTTGTCATTCAAGACCGTTTATAACCAACTATTAAGAATTACAACTAATTGTAACCTTTAATTTTAATCAGAAAGATAGGTTCAAGTTATTGAATGCATATATGTGTATATTGTCATTAAATAACGTTAGATGTACACCCCAATAAACTAATTAATGCTCTTGAGATTTTTCTTCATAATTTCTTTTTTTGGTTGTAAGCTTTATTTGTTTCTTCACAATTAATAATCTTATAGTATGATCCTATGTATTAAATTTTATGTGTTAACGGTTTAGTGATAGCACATCAATAATAGATCATTATATTTTTATTTGTTAATGATTAGCCTAAAATACACAACAGTCGAACCGAAGAATATTTAGGGTGGTTTGCAACTCCTTTTAAAAAAGCACTTCTCAACTTTTGGCTTTAAAAAAGCATTTATTTTCCAAAACACTACAACTTTTATTTTTCTCGGCTTCCGCGTCAAAAGTGCTTTTACTTTTTCTATTACACAAAAAACACTTATTTTACCAAACACTACTCACTCTTACTTTTCAAAATCACTTTTTTCTCAAACACTATAAACTTTTATTTTATCACTTCTCTCCATTTTATTAAAAAAACACTTTTTTAAAAGCAGAAGTTGTTGCAAACAAACCCTTAGAACTAAACCGATGAGGAATGAAATGTACTTCAAATGGTTATAAGTTTTTGACAAGGAGCCTAACCGATCTCAAATCTAAAATAAACTTATAAACGTGTGAAACATGCTTCTTTTGTTTTGATATTTTGTGGGAAGATTAGAGCTTTTAGTCGTCTTTATTTTTTATTATTTTCGCTAGTAGTCCTATAATTTTAATCTCTTAAAGACTTGATGTTGAGACAAATAATTCTGTAAACATTAAGAATTTTATTATTGTAAAACACTTCATAGCATAAAGCAGATCAGAGCAAAAGAGGTCATTGCTAATGTGGTCCTCAGTGGCGGACAGAACATGGGGGCAAATGGGGGCTGTTGTCCCCCCAAAATTTTATTTTTCTAGGTATATTTACCCCGAAATTTTAATATATATGTATTTGTACGTATATTTTTACCCTGCCGCCCCTCCTAGCCAGAATTCCTGCGTCCGCCGCCGAATGTGGATACATTTATTAATTACATGAGTAGATTTATAAACAAGTAAATCATATGACTAAGAATGGACACGTGTATAAATTGCGATTTTCTCTTTTTTTGCGACATTTCAACCAACTCATAATTAACTTCTTTTAATGCACATGCATTGTAAACTTTATACTCGTATAACATAAAACTCATTTATATCATTCACACACGTATTATATTCATGACAAATCAAATTAATGCAACTAACTTCATTTTACTCAATTATCTCTTGTTTTAACAATGTGAAATATAAAAACTTTAGCAATAAAAGTAATTCACAATTTCTTATTTTAGACCAACCAATTTTATTTTGCTTATATTTTAAATTTACATCAATGCACATTTAGATTAAATAATACACTCATAATTATTTAGAAGGTTGGAACGAAATTTTAATAGAAGAGCGAGACAAGTAGATGTTTTATTGAATTGCCATTCAATATAAGTTCTAAAATAATTGCATGAAAATAGAGAAAAAGCTTGTAATATAAGAAATACACATTAAAAATAAAAAAGAAGCAGGAGCTCAAAATTAGAGGAGACAAAAGGTATATAGATAGTACTCCCTCCGTCCCTAAATATTGTTCCAAATGCGGATTACGAAGGTTGACCGACGATAAAGTTAAATGATCCCTGTGAAAACTCGGATTATTTTTAGTAAATAAAATTTACATATTCAGAAACTACATTAAACCCGCTACAAAACCTGCAAAAAATAATTCAACTTTTATAAAATTTTGATATAAAAAGTAAGAGTTTAAGAGTGATTTAAGATGACCCTCAATAAATGAAATGGAACTTCTTTTACGGACAGAGGGAGTATAAACTATATAATGTGAAAGAAAAGAAAATAAAATGGAAACAACTACGGGAACTAAAAAACTAAAGGATATGAAACAAATACCCTAATCACTATCCCTCAATGTTAAAAACATGCAATTGTAGAAAAATCGAATGTACCGTGATACACCCGGTTATATCATGTAATTTGCCGTAGATGTAGTACGTACCTCCATCATGCGTGTGGAAATTTTTGCTTTTTCTTCACCTAACTCTTTGATCAACTGAGAGCACTTACTCGGTGTTATCAATGTATTAGAAGGCCGAACCTGAAATATTAAGTATTCATTACATCACATCCAAAACAGTACTATTTGAAGGTAATTGATATAACCAACATAGTCTTTCCTTGCATATCATTTATATTGCAGTTGATTTTATTTTTAAAACTAATACATATAAAAATGTACCAATAAGGTATAACTCTCAAGAATAATAATTGTAGTAACTACTAGTATGTCAGTGTACACTTTCTGTGTACACTGACAAATACTTCGTAGATGCTTGTGTACGCTTTTCCTATATTCGTTTGTGCACAAAACAACTGTAAAAGAAGTGAATAAAACATATACACAACATATTTTTGTCACCTTTTCCCACGCGGTTGAATCAAGGTCTTCTAATGCACTTTCCTGACCATCCACAGCCGCTTTTAAAGTTGTGAGAACATCATCATCCTCATCACCTTCTTCCCAACGCGCGACTGCCAAAACAGCAAGCAATTCTACGCACTGCACGGTATTGCAAAACAAAATCATTTCCCGTATTTCTTCCTAAATGATACGGAGTACATAGTAATTCTATTTCTTTTTTTTGGTAAAAAAAATAAACTATAGGAAAATAAAGTATAAGATCGTCAATTTAGAACAGAGGAAGTAAGTATTATTGCATGCATAACCACAATACTAAATTAAAGGGAAATTACCTAAATAAGATTAAAAACATAATATTTTTAGAATTTGGCAGTAGTAATTCAATTTTCAAACTTTATTACTGACAATATTTTCTAAATTAAACAGTATTCGGTACCATACATCAGAGACTAAATCAGGCAAAGCAGTTTCTGGATTTTGTGGGGATGAATCATCAGCGTACTCCAAGTGCTTGCTTAATCTGCATTTCATCATAATCAAAAGATTAATTAATTGGGGAATTTTATGACTTATGATACTGTACCTCATAATTCAAATGCATCATACATAATTCAGGGTCCATGTTTTGGACGGGCTCATCCTAATTTTGGTAAATCTTACTCCCTCCGTATCACAGATTCACAATACTTGCTCAAATGTAACTTATTGTAGAATAATAAAGTAAAATTGTATGGTTGAAATTTGTGCAGATGATAGAAAAATTTTATGTTCGAGTGGAGCTCAAGTACGATTCAAGTTTAAAATGAGTCAAGCTAGTCTCGAATAAGAAAGAGTGAATCTCAAATAAATTATAAATTGGCTTGTTGATTATCACTTCTAGGACAATTGATACGTTTTTACAAGGTATAATACATCATGTCCGTATCATAGAATTTGCTTTAAAAAATATCATGAAAAAGTTTTCATTGACCACCCAATCCATGAGCAAATGCATATATACCGTACTTACTTGTTGATTAAATGGCTCTTAGCCCGACCAGATTCTTCTCTAAATTTTGTCATTGCAACATTTTTTGCATATTTCTCCAGCCCATCTGTCATTTTTTTCCTGTCTTCATCATTCATGCCAAAGTGTGATAACGCGGTGTCAAGCTGAGGCAGAGCTTTCTCAACCAAACTTTTGAATTCTTCTCTTATTTTTGACCAGCTTGGAATTTCAGGACGTTCAGAGACTAGAAAACTCAACCAGCTTGACAATTCTTTTTTTATTGTCGGCTAATATATAAAAAGTAGACTAGAGTTAGAATAACAATATTTGGAGGCCGTTTGGCAGCACTCTTTTTCGGCTTATCAAGTTTATCAGTCAACTTTTTCATCAAACACGTAACTTTTGCTTTCGAGCGCTGAATTGTGTAATAAGCAGAAAAAGTAAGGTTGAAGTTACTTTTCTGGCTGTATTGGCTGAAGTTACTGCAGATGATCATTTTAGCTATTTTAACATATAATTTTTTCTTTGTTTTATTAATAAAATATATTTTAATTTTTTTTCTTCTTAAATCAGCAAAATCAGTCAATGCAGTCACTTCAGCCAGAACTTCATAAATTTCAGCAGAATCAGCCAAAACAGCCCATTTTTGTGCTAACAAACGAGCTCTTGATAAATAACTTTTCCTTGTATTTTCAATCCTACACGTAGTAATTAATAATTTCGGTTAAATTCAGAAGCACTTTTAAACCGAAATGTACTACTTCCTCCATCCTCCATGTTTATTATTTTATGTACTAACTTTGTCACACACGAGTACCATTTTAATAATACTTGGTTGGTTACAATTATCCTTAATTTATTCTCGTTTTATCAATTTATCAATCGCACCACTCCATTTTTTCTTAATAAAGTAACTACACACTTTCTTATGTCTCAGTACAAAAAGATGTAATCGCCCACTCCTCGACCACCTACACCCCGACACGATATAATGATGGAGAAGTACAATTACGGTATGATCTCAAACAGTTTCTGCATGAAATAGTTCAGAGCCAAATGCGCACAAAGAGCCACCATATTGGATGAAACTTTATTAGTGCCGATTTTCTGCTTGGAATCATGGCCGTTTTTAGGGGGGGGTTCAATAGATTATACAGAACAGGGCCTCTGAATTTATGGGGTCTCGATTTAACATTTAGAACCGGAGCCTCTAAATTCATTTGACGACCCTGCTTGGAATTGAATTGAACATGAAACTTCAACTCAACCGCCTCACTCAGTCACCTTTGGAGATAACTTTCTTATGTTGGAAAAATGTGTGAAAAATTGCATTAAATGGCTATTTTGGGGCAATTTTTTGAGTGGGGTCCACTTCCGATTTGGGTCGGGTCAAAGTGGTTTCGGATTGTCCTTGTTAAGGGCTACAATTCGATATATGGTACGCTCAAAACGGATAACGGGTGAATGAGAAATCGCTTTTCGAAGTTTACCCGTTAGAATGGAAAAACTGGGAAAAAGGATGAGTTTCTAGTGTGTTAATTTCCCACACCGGAAAACCCAAGGGATTTGCTACCCTTTATAAAGGGACTTCCCCCTTATGGAGTTAAGATTCTTAAGGGTAAAGGCTCTCTCCACGCGCGCAGGGGGGGGGGGGTGCAAATCAAATCCCGAATTTGGAGAAGAAAAACCGCGACCTGCGGACACGAATGTCGTCCAAAAATCTATCTCTCAAGAGATACGATTAATTTTTGTTTTCTTCCCGAAACGTTTAATTTTTTCCCAGCGGCAGAAGTGCTCGGACAGAAGCCTACGGATCAGAACACCACCTCGTTGGTGTTCTGATGGCAGAACCCCTCATGGGGTATTCTGATGGCCTCCCATCAGAGTTGGGGGTACTCTGATGGGGTCTTCTGGTTGGCCTCCGATCAGAACCCCTCCCGGGGTGTTCTGATGGAGGTCTTCTGTCGCGCTTCTGAAACGTTACAACAATTAATGCCCAACGTTTATATCTTTTAATGCAGCGTTAAATGGACAGTTCATGGACGATTCAATGCCCAACGGACTGGTCATTGATGTCCAACGTTCAGGTCCATTAATTCACTATTTTCACACAACAAATCCTCCTATATAATGGCTGGCAGGTGGTTTGCAACAACACACGTTCTTACACGAATTCATACACGTTTTGCACCTCTAAAAACACACTGCTAGCACTCTGAAAATTCCTTCTGTGTTCAGTCTTTGTTCTCGTTCGCTGGAACTTTTGTTTGAGTGCTCAAACAATAGTTCGTTGTCATCGTATCCTGGGAAACTATTGTTGCAACGCTCCTAGCACCGTGGGAGGCAACAAATACGTTTTAAGGACATCGTGCGTAGCACAAGCTTTGACAAATTCTGCTCCATCTCTTTTCTTGTTTTCTTTCGTCATTTTATTTAATTAATTTATTTTAATTAATTTTCTTTATTTTCCGAAACACACCCAACATCTTATGCGATTTTAGGGGCAAATTCTAAAACGTATAAATGCTCATAGTTATGGTAGATCTTAATAGCTTATAGCCTTATACATTTGTCGAGTGTAGCACCGAACCGGATATGTTCTTGGCACCACTTTACTTCAACTATGTGATAGGTAATAAATACGTATAATACCTCATAGAGTTCTTTCACTAAAAACCCTGGTCTGTCTTCTTGTTTAGCAGAAGCATAATTTTTCATCTGCATTTCAAGCCTTGCCCTTTCTTTCGACGGATCCCACTTGGCTTCCCTTGCTCTCAAAGCTGCAAGGTTATTAAGCCATCAGAAAGCTATATGGGCGAAAATCCAACGGATTCCAAAGAGAAACCGGCAATTGCATCCTAACCAGTGGCGGATCCAGAAATAAATTTTATTGGGGGCATATCAATGAACATAAGACCTCTATTATATACATGGTTGTAAGATGATATCTCAAATATAGGACAAGCCGCATAAGCAGAGCAAAATCATTTGTGTACATTTTGTGTAAAAAAATTCTACGATATGATCATTGTTCTAAAATTTGCTAGTATCTAGTTGGACGGTTAATGGACACATAGCACCTAGGGGGGCAGTTAGGCAAAAATTCTGGTCAATTAGGCCAAATTTTTGGGCGAATAGGCCTATTTTCTGACCAACTAGGTCAATTTTTTTTTGAACCAACCAACTATGTCAATTTTTAGAACATTGAATATGATTGATTATGAGCATGGCACTCTCAATAAAGTTACAATATTGAAACTTTAGCTACATCATTGTCTCGTACAAATCATGTGCTTAAGCATATCTATATGCTCCATTCGTCTAAAAAAATCTTCTCACCTATCATTCTGGGATATGATATCTCAATAAATTATTCACATTTTCCTTTACGGAAAGGTTTGTGTGGTTGACAATAGCGTATCAATTCATTTCCTTTTTTTCTGACTCAACAATAATCATACATTTTGCACTTTATTCTCATACTTTTAATAAGTGTGCCAAGTTAAATCGGGAAGATTTTTTGGGATGAAGTATTATACTTTTCATTTTTGGGAATCTCTTAATCAACTATACTCTAAATATTACGAATTATACATAATGTATACTTGATTAAATTATTTTTATTTCACAATTGAATAATTAAATTTAGAATGAAAATGAGAACATTATTAATTTATTATTATTTCAATAAATTTTATTGGATGAAAAAATATTTCATTTGGTACACTAAGTATTTAGCAGTATTTAATTTAACCTAGTACACTACGACATCAAATTGTTCAATAGTCCATATCATTTTCATATAGTCCAATTGAGTGTTCTTAAGATCGATCAAATCAGTTTTTATTAACCGATATAACTTTTCAAAAATATTATTGGGGGCATGAGAAAAAAGTTATTGGGGGCAATTCATTTTTAATTAAAATGTACTTCCTAACAATTCTATATTATTAATGCATTTATAGAAGCTTATTGGGGGCATGTGCCCCCACCTTAAGGATTTCCAAATAAGGACTAAATGAAACATTAATTGCAACTAAAATAGGATCATATCTTAAAAATTGTCTAAACGGGACTACTTTTCCAATTATATTCTTGTTTTAATACCATTCATACTTCATTAATAATTATGAGAATATTATCCGAAATATGACTAAAAAGATTTGTAAATTCCAAAATAAGACTGTCATTTTTTATTCTCAAAATAGGACTAATTAGTGCCATGTTTTGGCAGTACCAGACTTCAAACATGGCAGTATTTTCCAAACTTGGTAGTAATTACTCCTATTTTGGGAATAAAAAACATGACAGTCCTATTTTGGAATTTTCAAAATGCTTTAGTCCTATTTCAGGAACTTTCCCATAATTAAAATGTAGAAGTAATAACACAACTTTATTTATAATGAAAATAAATTATAGAAATAAATATTAAATAAAATTAATAAAAATAAAAAATTCAAATAAAAAAAAATATAAAATAAAAAATACAAACAAAATAGGCAGGCCTATCCTGCCACCTTGACAATCTCCTAGCACCATCAGCTTCAATTACCAGAAATTAGGCCAACATGTTTCAGAAATGCCATCCTGATGGCAGTTTTCGAGAAAATTTTAACATTTTCAAAGAGTGAAAATGCCAACTTCATGACATTCTTTCAAAGAAAAATGTCAATTTTTACACAAAATGGCATTTTTTTAACCGGTTAGAGGTACCATGGCTCGGAGCCTGCGGGAAAGGCCTCCATTTTTTTTTAAAGGTGTTTCATCTATTTTTATTTATTTTTGATGTTTTATATTTTTTATAAAATTTAATTTTTTTAATTTTTATTATTAATATCTTCAAAAATATTTATATTTTTTTAAATTTTTTACTCTTTTTTGTATAATTTTAATTATTTTTATTATTTTTTATTTATTACAAATTCAAATATGATTATCATACAGAGTATTAAGTTATGGAAACGGTATAATAGGAAGATAGGGTATACTTAAGGGTTTTTTTACAAGAATATCACTAAATTAAAACTTATTTACATAAATATGACTATTCATTACTACAACGTAGTATTGTGGTAACTCAAGTTCAAAACTTGAACGTGAATTACTGTGATTTCATTACTATTCTAGTAAGTAGTCATATTTTTGTAAACCATCTTTATTTTGGTTATATTTATGTAATTATTTCATACTTTAAGTCCTATTTTGGGAAGACAATTAACATAGTCATATTTGTGCATTATTTAGGGATTAATTTAGTCATATTTAGGACTATTATCTCAATAATTTAAGGTGGAAAATGGTGATGGAGAGTGACGGAGCATATCGGATGATGTTGGACACACACACACATACCATCCATCACCCGATTCCCCGCCCCAACCACCACTCACCCGCTATTACTTACTGTCCCCGTCTCTTAAAATTTTGTTAATTTTAATCGACACGGAGAATAATAAATAAACAAATGTGTTATTCAGAGTTGTGAAGAAAAGAGGAAAATTATATGAACCACACACAACTTTTTGCTTTAAAAATAAAAATAATAAAAGTTTAGGAAAACTATCAAATAGGTCCTCGAACTTTCATAAAAAGGTCAATTAAGTCCTTCTATAGGAGATTCTGTCCGGCCATCGCGATTTGGGGCAGTTTCCGGTGGAATTTTTTGATGAAAATTTTTGAACATCTTATTCACCAAGTCTAGTTTACTCATACCAAATTTCAACTAAAAATTCAATCGGGAACACATTTAAATTAATTGTTGAAGATAATTGCACATTTTTGCGTTCTCGAATTAATTTGAATATGCTCCCGATTAAATTTTTAGATGAAATTTGGTATGAGTAAACTAGACTTGATGAATAAGATGCTAAAAAAATTTCATCAAAACATTCCATCGGGAACCGACCCAAATCGCGACGACCGGACAGAGTCTACTATAGAAGGACTTAATTGACTTTTTTATGAAAGTTCGAGGACCTATTTGACAGTTTTCCCAAAGTTTAGGAAAACTGTGGTATCATTTTCTCAAAATCATCATATTTGTAAATGTGACATATGGTATAGTAGACATAATAAACTATGCTTAAAAAGTCTGCCCCAACTGAGCTATATAAATATGATGATTTTAAGAAATGACCCACGTGGTGTCAAAAAAAATGACCCACATTTCAATATACTCCCTCCGTAACTTTAAAATCTTCCCATTTGAAAAGTAGGTAGATTAAGAATAGTTAAAGAGAATATGAATTATTGAGGGTATGATAGGAAGATAGTGGAATAAGGTGATGGAACGTAGGATAAATCCAAAAAAAGTAGTTGTAATAGTGTATTATTTTCAGAATTATTGAGGGTATGATGGGAAGATTTAGAAATGAGAAAATTTTTTTGTTACGGACAAAAAGGGAAAGTGGGAAGATTTTAAAGTTACGGAGGGAGTAATAAAAATAAGATAGATTCTATGATACCCTTAAGGTATCATTCACTTGTCCAAATGGAATAATTAGAATGATGTAGTTTAATTATTTAAATCTAAATTAAAATGATATAATGGTTTGGATCAATCGAATGAATAGTATGTACCGTATTCCATTTTTTAAATAGGTACCATAGTTGCTCCTAAAAATAAATCTACATTACCACTTTTTAAAATTTAGTCTACATCTACAAACCTTCACAGCTTTCGTCAAATTCATTTAAGCAGCATCGGGTGTGATCTTCGACTACGATAACTCTATTATTTCCGTCTGTAACCTTGTCAATTGCATCCATAAATGCCTTCAAACATATCAGCCTCAAATCCTTCACCATACCTATATACATATGTTCAACATGCTAACAGAAATAGAGAATTAATTAGATTTGCATTTGAGCAGTTCAAAGAGAAATGAGAAAGTCATGAATAATACATCTATCAGCTGATTATCTTCAAAATCAGAATATAGCAGAAACAGGTACCTGTAAACATTCTTGAATAAGCCGCTCTCGTTTTTCCTTGACAACACTTTCATCATACAATGAGGCTTCTTCATCATACCTAGAGATCGAGTTAGAAACAAAGAAAGATTAACGAACAAGTCAAATTGAATTGCTCATCTGAGCTTAATATGCAAATTATGTTACTATCCTATAAACAATAGAGTTCTATTAAGGTTTCATCTATTGAAGTTTAATCTCGTTTGGTCAAGTCTAATAAATGTCGGGTATGTTTGTTTTACTTTTGTACATTTTCGGTACGGTCTGATTTTTTATGTATGGTCGAGTATAATCTGAGATTGAAATAAATCGAAGTGAAAATATCTTTAGTCTAATGATTTGTATAATGATTTGTGAATTGTGATACAAGTATATATATTTATTTATACTACATGCCAGGTATGAGTAGATAATGAAAAACACCAACTTTGACACACAAGTGTTGAGAATGGAATCCACTTTTTCACCAAAATCGTGAACAAGGTCATAGTATGCAATTCCTCTCAAACAACGCAAGAGCTGTGTAATGAACATGAATCCGTTAAGACTTAAGAAGATGTACATGAATTAGCAAATAAAATAGAGAGGATACTCGTCATAAAAACTAGCATAATTGCTTTTTTATACCTTATCCTTTTTGAAGGAATTTAAATGTTCATTTTTAATCTTTTCACACCGCGCGATTGACACCAATATCTGGGACAAATGAAATATGTGTGTGTCAAATTAATCAAGAATATATAGAAAAGAAAAGAAAATCATTACCTTACAAAGCTTTATGTTTTCGTATGTTAGCGGATGGGTAGGCACAGTCATACTAGTATATAGGAGTGTTTGGATACTCATTAAAACTGCTTCGTTTTACTCCTTTAGGGAGCATAAGCAGATCGATATATATGCAGTGTTTGGTGGAAGTGTCGAAATACTTCTAAGTGCTTCATATCGCTTCTAGAGACATTTTTTTGAAGATGGGAGAGACCAAATTTTAAAAAAAAACTAATTTTGATTTCACTTCTACTTTTAAAAAAGAAGATGAAGCAAAATCAATTCTAAACACCCCATAATTTTTTTTAGATGTTATGATCTGGAGTTTTACAGCTTACCTATAGTTTGTTCTATACTCAGAATACAAAAGAAAAAACATATCACCTCATATTTAGGAACATCAAGGTCCTTATTTCCCAATATATCACTCCATATTTCTTGTGCAAGCGCGGGAAACATTGAAGCCCGGTGTTTTGCCTTGTCGTCTATATGTGTAAGTGCGGGAATGATGAATTTTTCCTTTAACTCTGTGACCTGAACAAACATCAATAATAACAATAAAATAGTACATATTACTACGTATATAGCTAGTAGTAATAATACTAACAAACTCTGTCAAAAAAAATACTACTAACAAATATAATTGTAACACAAAAAATAACATGCTTATAGTGATACACACATAGGACTGGTTAGGTAAAAGTTGTGGCACTGTTAGAAGTATAACTTCAACATGCATTGTCATCTACAGAGACTACAGAGTACTACCTCTGTTCCTAAAAATACTTCCCGGTTTGACTTGGCACGCTTATTAAGAAAGTTGAATAAAACGGAAATGTATGGTTGTAGTTGTGTAAGAATAAGATAAAATGAATGTGAACCACACAAATTGTCAAAAAAGGGAAAGTGTGAAGTATTTTTGGGAACTGCCCAAAAAATGAAAGTGAGAAGTATTTTCAGGAACGGAGGAGTAGTATTTAGTAATCACAATACCTTTAGTTTAAAACCTTCTTCATGTACTTCATAATTTGGGAGAAAGATAAATTGAACCTGTCAAATTACCAAGTCACATGAGAAATTGTGCATTTCATAGTATATGAATCATATCCCCTTATTTTCGGCTTATAAGTTTTACCCGTCAACTTTTATATCAAATACATAAATTTTTAATCTGCACGTTACAGTGTGTAATAATCAAAATAAGTTAGGTCAAAATTACTGTTAAGAACGAAAATCCTAATATTGCAGAAGATGAATATTTTGGTTATTTTTCATATATTTTTTTATTTATTTATTAATAAAATATATTTTATTATATTTTTTTCACAATTGAGCACATTCAGCTATTTCAGCTACTTCAACCAATATTATCAATTGCAACAAATTGAGACATTTCAGCCAATTTGGATGTCACTAATCGAACACTGCATGCAATGACTCGGTTTTATAAAAACAAAGTAGGGTGAATAAAATTACTTCAAAATAATCTTGAAGCAGGAGATTGCTGCTGCTTGATGGAATAGCAGAGGCCCATATCTATAATATATTAAAAAAAAAGTAAAGAAAATTTAAGAAGGCAGTGAATGAATAAAATCAAATGATGAGGAAATGCGTAGAATTGCACCAAAACATGTTACCTCATTTAGATCTTCTCTAAGTATTCCTTCTAAACTAGACTTTCGAGACTGTAATCATTACAGATCAAAATCAATGCATCTTAATAATGAAAGCTAACAGTACCTAAACATGTAAGGTAAAAAATTGAGGTGTTGAGTTAATTAAAGATATATATGCACCTCTATTTCGTCGCGGAGGATAAACATCAGTGTGATTTTCCTTGGTTTTTTCATGAATTCGTTCATGGCCTATAACGTAACATGACGGAAAAAAAGTTAAAAACACACTATAATTAAATTTATTTGCTGCAAGAGGGACATAGCAGTACTGACATTGTCAATTCACTTTCTGAACATTGATAATCTTTGGGTAAATTAAGTATGAGTCATCTTTGTCTAAATTAGTTAGAGGCCAAAGACATGACAATGATTCTAATATGTGGGATTCCCTTAATAGATTACGGACTCCATTGTTCATAGATGTACATTGCTTGAAACCGATATTGAATATCTATATATTTTTTTAATATCTTTTTAAACCTATTATGGTATCTGTTGTTGAAGTCTCACACCGGAAATTTTGAAGTAATAAAGTGCTAGATTAAGATCATGGACTACTTTTTTCATCTGGTTAACCTTTTAAGATGAAACTCCGAATCTTAACATGGTATCAGAACTAAATCGATCCATAACCATGGTGTGAGCCCTTATGGAAAAATGATGATGACAAATCGATGGAAAAATGAATAACCAGACGTAGTCATAGTGTTTGGTCATGAGGAGGGGGCGTTGAAGTCTCACGCCGAAAATGATAAAATAATAAAGTGATATATTAAGATCTTGGGCTACTCCTCCTATCAAGTTAAACTTTAAGTATAAAAGCCAATGGATGTTGAATAATCTATTTAAAATAATACGGAGTAAATAATAATATGCACAGTCTAGACTATAAAACCCATTGACACACCCAACCCGACCCATTCCTATACATGCGCTAGTGTCCTTCCTTGGGAAAGCTTCTAGTTTCTTCATTGGGTGCTATGTCATGAAACCACCGGTCAGGCTAGCCGGTTCTAATGTGATTGTTAAGAATATAATAATTAAGGCTAATCCTGAGTGCGTACTTAATACAAAGGTATACTCAACCCGACACTCCATCCCATAAAACTTGGTTAATTTGACTTTTCTTGAGGCCAAATTACCAAATTTGTAAAACAAAAAAAGAGAATGGTTTACCGGATTGGTAAAAAAAAACCAATTAGACGTATTGGTAAAAAAAGAAGCTTTAGTGACAAATTGGTCATTTTTTGTGAGTGAGACACCTTTTGTCCTCGCCTTTAGAAATCCAGACATTTCATATCTTAAGGTTGTGAAATTGACATTTTCAGTCCTTCTACTTTGATTTCATATGCTCACTAATACGAGCACACACATATAAATAATTCATATGTTTTTAGTATTAAAATTTTAAATATGACTATTTATTAGTTTTTTAAAAAAAATCTACTCCATTTTGTTGACTTTTTTAACTTATGACTTTTTCAAAATGTTAGTTGCAATTAAATGTTAAACCGTAAAATGACAATAAGTCTTGAAAAAAGTTTGAAAAAATATATTTACGTTTATTTTAAATAACAATGATGCATTTTTTAGAAAAACCTACTCCCTCCGTCCCAGAAAATTCTTCCCAGTTTGATTTGGGACAAAGATTAAGAAAGTGGAATAAAGTGGAAATGTATGGCTGTGATTGCGTAAGAAAAATGTGAAATCAATGTGAATCACACAAATTGTCCAAAAATGGTAAGTGGGAAGAATTTTTTGGGACGACCTAAAAAGAAAAGTGGGAAGAATTTTATGGGACGGAGGGAGTAATAAATAGTCATATCGAGTAAAATTTTGAAGTAGATTTTTAAAACGGGGTAGATTAAAAAAACAAATAAATAGTCATATTTAAAATATTAATAATTAAAATATATGAATTTAGATGTGTGTGCTTGCGTCAATGTACATATGTTAAAAACCATAGTGTGAGTCGTTATTTAAAATAAACATAAATGAAAATTTTAAAACTTTTTCCAGGACTTATTAAAAATAAAAGCAATACAATTAAGTTAAACATATATACTTTTAAATCAATATCTTTAATGGTCATTTTACGTCTAGAAAGCTAACTACAAACAACTAAGTTTCTAATAAATTATTTCAACCGCTAATGAAAACGGTTAGTTAAAACAGTTAATGGAATCTGATAGTGCAATCTACCGATTGAACCGACTATTAGCTAGCTGACAACTGCTATTATCAAACACGCATGTTGACATTTTTAGTCCTCCATTTTTATGATGAAATCAAAGTAGAAAGATTGAAAATGCCAATTTCACAATACTTATGATATGAAATGTTGAGAATTCTAAAGTTGATGACCCAGTGTCTCACTCACAAAAAATTGACCAATTTATCACTAGGAACCTTTTTTTTACCAATACGTCTCAAGTGGTTTTTTACCAATCCAGTAAACCACTCTCTCTCTCTTTTTACCAATCTGGTAATTTGGCCCTTTTCTTGGTAAATCGTAATAATCTCTAGATAACAATTTTAATTATTATATTTGTGTGAAAATTAGAACTTTTATACTTTTATGAATATGCTTTTAACAAAGAATATTATCATACAATTTTCATATTTGAAATTATTTTGTATCAAAAAAATCATTGGTCAAACTTGGCCAACATTAATCCAGAAAAGTCAACATGACCAAGTTTATGGGAATTAGAAAAGTGAACAAATTATTTTACCTGCTGGAACATGGTTCTTAGAAGAGGCTTATTAGCAGCGTGCTCACGGCCAATGTCCTTACACCACCTAATAATAAAGTTGAAGGGAAAATATAAGGACAATTCAGAATTACTTTTTAAAACTACTTCTGTCTCTTCAGGGAACAGATGTAGATATTGGAGTCTTTGGATCGAAGTACATAAGTATTTCTAAATGCTCAAAATTGCTCCTACAAGCAGTTTTTAGAAGCTGGGGAAGGCCAGCTTCTGAAAAACTGATTCTGATTCTACTTTTTCTTTTAATAATGAAGTAGAAGCAGAATCAATTCCAAAAACAATAGCAGAACTGAGAGATTGCAACATTTTCACTTCTTCAAGTAGGTGAGGACGGGGGTTTGTAATTTAAGTCTTTCCACTATTATATGTATAACACTTTTACTACATGTTTTTAAATTCTTATACGTTTTGTCTCTATTTTTGAGCTTACCAGCGTCGTCAATCAACTGTTTATCAAACACTACCTCCGTCCCGAAAAAGTTCGCCATATTGAGTTTTCTTGGTCAATGATGACAAAGTTTGGGCAATTATTTTAATTATTACATTTGTATATAAATTATAAATTTATACTTTTATGAAAATATTTTGAATAAGGAACACTTTGATATAATTTTCATATTCAAAATAATTTCGTATTAAAAGATATCATTGGCCAAAGTTGATTGCTATTGACCAAGAAAAGTCAATTTGACGAACCTTTTCGGGATGGAGGGAGTACTAAATTTCTAAATAATCAAAATAAGTAAGGCTAGATTTACTTATGCAGCAAAGTAGATTAAATACAATCATCTTTAATTTGGTTTATTTAATTGATAAAATATATTTGAAATACATATTTTTCATAATTCAACCAATTTAGTCATTTTAGATATAATTTAATCACTCGTATCAGATTCTTCTGATTCAACAAATTTCAATATTTCAAACCAATTCTTAGTCGTTTGTGCATTGCAAAATTGAAAATGTCTTAATTTTGTTTTGTCATAATGACAATCTTGCGATTGTTGTAGTAAAATTTACAATCGAATGATCAAAAGTCACTTTCACAATGGCCAAATGAGTAAAAGTGGGTAATTCCAATCGGGGTACCAAATGTGTCTTTGTCAAAACAGCTCAATAACCAATAAAAAAAACTTTGAAAAGTAATTTAGCATTGACTCCATAAATAAATTTATTACTTTTGTTATATAAAATTTAATAAATGAAGCATTTAACACAAAATAATTTCTTTAATATAGGATTTAGTTTTATTCTACAAATTCATTTTTTATTTTTTCATATAGGTTGTAGTGTATTTTTAGGAAAAACCTAATTCCATATATAATTAATTGTTTTTGGTGCTCTGAAGTATTTTTTCATTTTAAAGATCCAATTTGCTCCTTGGCAAAAACACTAAGGGCATTTGTGGCAACTTATAAAACATTAGGGGTTTATCTGCTCATGTGGGCTGCCACAAATTGTTAATTATGCATCTACAAAATTTTCCTCAATTTGATAAATACATTTTTTTTTTGTTTTTGAGAAATTTTCTAAAATATGAGTAAACCATGTGATCAATTCCTTAAATACAAAGTACTCTATTGTTTCCCAAAATATGAAAGGAGTATTTCACGTTTAAAGCATACTATCATATTATGACATTACCGGACATTAACATGACAATATTAGAGCCATAATAATATGATAGTATGTTTTCGGGATGACAATAACTACTCATATATCACGCAAAATACACAATACATTTATGTAGGGACACCATATCATTTTACTTATATTCAGGGTTATTTCCTTTTTTGTTACTAGTCTTTGAATTTTTAACTTATAATCATCTTTCAAAAAACAAAATTAATCATCTAGCAATTATGAAAGTAACAGTTTTGGTCTTACGACTATTGTGATATTAAAACTTTTGGTCTTCCAACAATTTTAGTGAAATTCATAATGACCAAAGCAGTTAATTTCACCATAGTTGAATGATTAAAAAGTGAAATATTCATATACGGGTACTAAATGTGTATTCTTCAAAATAACGGAGCACTAAAAAAGTATTCAAAATCAAATACTCCGTATTAAAAGTTTCATTCGCATTATAGTTAAACAACAAAACTTGTTAAAAGCTCATAGAAGAGGAACAAATCAACATTATTGTTCCTCTTAAATATAAACACATAACTTACATATTAATTAAAACAATGTCAGCTACCAAAAGAGTAAAAAGAGCACTCCGCTTTTCAAATGAAGTATTGCCCTGAAAAGGAAGATAAACACATAACAGTGCTATATAATAATATTATCTAATGACTCGTATACAATACAATTTCTAGTTCAAATAAAATGATCATATATCAAACCCCTTTTTGAGCGCAATCTGAGCCTTCCACATCCATTACAAGCGTGAAAGGTCTTACATCTGGACATCTTGACATCCAAATCCCTAAAGTTGCTTGAGACCTAAAAATGAACAATATTATCCCTTATTTGATTCATCATAAATAAACAGCAATATGTTATATACTACATAATCAATACATGTTTTAAAACCACATACCCTCTTTTAGAATCATCCATCGTCCCAAACCGTGTACTAAACAAGTGATTGAGTAATGTACTTTTTCCTGTTTACGAATGTTGTAAAGTTAGATTCTAATGCAATTTAAACATTTAAATCGGCACGTAGTATCTGAATTACAATCACTTTAAAATTATGAATACAAATCTAATTATTATCGCTTTAAATTTCTGAATTGGCATAAATGAGAGTGTATGAAAATTATTTGTTAGTGTTTTCAATTCTAGCAGTAGTAAAGTCAAAAATTAAATTAATATTTAATATGTTGAGCCATGTCTCCTCAATAAGTCAATATTTTAAATAGAACCAATGGTTCTAAATTAATTTCATAATTATTCATGGATTTTTTTTTTCCAAAATAGAATTCAAAGTAATGTGAATTCCCTAAATAAAAGTACAATGTTTTCTCCAATTACACTATATTGTCATATTATGGCATTATGAGTCACTGATATAGCAATATTTTCAAGGTTGACGGTACTTATTCATATTTAGGGAAAACATGGAACTTTTTAATTATTGAGAGAAATCATGTCTTTACTCTTATATCATTCAATTTATATATGCAAATCCTTTGGATGAGAATTACCTAATTATATCAATCTCATGAAGTCATGTAAGAAGTTTATAGCATGGTACATACCACTACTAACTGGGCCGAGTATTGCTACAACAGCATATGAACGGCCACACTCATAGAAATTTGTTCTTAATGCAAAGCTCTCGAAATCCTTTTCTTTGAAGTCGTTATAGAACTCATCTATTAGTTGAAAAGTAATATCTTCATCTCTATGAGCTACATTTGCAAAAGAGAAATATATATGTTAACAAAAGATGTAGTACAAAAAATTACAAAATAAACATACACTAACAATAGTCGTGAATGCTTCCTTCAAAATTCCATTTAATAGAAGCTCGAAATCCTGAAATCTCGATTCTTGTTTTACAAAGTCAAAAAATGTATCCTACTTTGTGAAATTTTATTTATGTGTCTTAGTGATGCACAAAGATAAAATTGAAGATATTTTTCAATTTAAGTTTTGTAATATTCAATTAAAAAATTATTAAGCCAAACTTATATCTCTAATACTTGCTTAAAATTTCAATATTACAAGGTGGTACTGTAATTATTTGCTAATGGTAGAATAATACACTTTAAATTTATCTATAAAAAAATGACAGAACCACGATGTTTCTTGATCAAAGGATAGTAATTTGAAAATTTGAACGAGTTAAATGGTATGTGTGCTGATGAATAATTTGAAAAATATAATAAATACTCTAAAATTGGTAAGAGTAAGACGTACATAAAAGTTATAAATATATGAAATGCCTCTCTTTTATTTCATCCGTGAAGTTAGTTTTTAAGATTCAATATGAGATTAAGGGATATATTAGTACAATAAATTAGAATAAGCGATTAAGAGGCCTACCCATTTTTAAGAATTGAATTGATATGTTGTGGTCTTCAGAAATATGAAAGTGGAAGTAAAATTGTGGTATTGTGAATGAGTGAGATGAAGGTGAGAGAGTGTTTGATCCATTTATAATGACAGTTGAGGAAGATTATAAGATTTTTGTCTTAATTTACAGCTAGTTTAATGATTTAACTTGAAGAGCACACAAAGTTATGTCCTACTTTTACATTAAAATATACATAAGGGTGTAAATCATGTCCAAACATAGTGAAATCAATAGTAAGAGAAATAGTAGTAGTAGTAGTAGTAGTAGTAGTAGTAGTAGTAGTAGTAGTATTAGTAATGCAGTTAATATTGTTGTTGTTATTATTCAATCTAGATATCTTTTTCTACTATATGAGAATTTATGCACATTTTTATGAAAGAATATATATCATTAATCATTTACTCTATTCAGATGCGCCTTTTCTAAAAATTAAATAACATAACTATTTCCTGTAACACTTAATTTAACCTCTAGACTCTGTTTTAGACTAGTCGTTTCCATTTGAATAATATATTTAGTTATTTACTAATTTGAAGAAAATAGACAAAAGATCGCTCCATCTGATTTCTCGAAGTATTATATAGTGATTTAATTTTACGATGCATAATTCGTGTAAAATTAATTATACATGAATAGAATCCAATTTTATTTGTTAAAACTTCTTGGAAAATATTGAATATTTTTTTTAAAATCTTTATGTTGGGTAAAAATTAAACTTTTAATGCGAAATGTTGACAACTCAATCGAATACAAAAATTTAGTCTTTCGTGTGTTTTGGTATGCATACATTGAAAAGTCACACGACTTTGTCAACTTATTCTCCCTTGTCAAGTACAACAATGGTATGAAAATGAATCTAGTGAAGTAAGGAATCAACTAGACCATTGGCATCCTACTAAAAATTTTAACGCAAGTTATCAATTGGAATTCATTTCCTTGTTTATGAAGAAAGGCACCACAATTTTAATCTTTAACTATTGGTAGGCTAAAGGTCTTCTGGTAAGTGTTGAAACAGCTTAAATCGCTGAAACGTTGTGAAATTTTTGAAATAATTGAACTTGAAGTCTTTCATGATACTTTGAATAAATTGGGTTATTGAATGTGAATGTATGAGCATAGATGTGTGTTTGGTTTAGATGAAAACAAGAAAGCTAGGTAATTAGTCAAGAATAAACAAAGTCATTTGCGTAATAGAAGGGCATCCACAATGGTGTGTCAACTATTAAGTTTTCATTTTAAAAATATGAGCTTGATGTTTGAGATTGTAAAGTCACATTGATGTTCTTAATCTTGACACTCAATTTTAAAACATAATAATGTTCATACATATTTTTAAAAAAGTGAAATAAATTAAATAAGATTTGCACCCAACAAAAAAGAAAAAATAAGAAATTATCACAAAGTCAAGAGGTAATGGAGAAAGAAAAACAAAGTAAAAGATTATATGTCAGATATGTGGCGTAACAATAAACGCGAAACCAATATTTTGAAATAAAATATGAATTCATTCATTAATGATATGATAAGGTAGAAAACGTTATAAATTAAAATTTGACATTATTATTGTGAATGTTGTAAAACTAATACATTACAATAAGTCATTTGATGAACTTGAATAGACAAAGTTTGAACTATTATAAATTCTAATCTGCTTTTTTAAATACGTAGGTTTGTATTCTATTTATCTGTTTATTAATTAGGGTTTATGTAATCTTTTAAGATTATTTTTTGTTTGGATTTTTAAATATACCTATGTGATAGAATATTAATTTCATATAGCACTACTACGAAAATGATGAATACATTAATTTTTATTTTTTCTATTATTTATCACAATATTGTATGTTTATAATAATGTCGGGCCTAAACATTAAAAAATAGGTCTCTCAAAATCTTTAGATAGCTCTCATGTAACAAGAGTATCCACTGTAGCAATTGTTAAGTCCATATTTCAACACGCGTTTTTATACGTGTTGGGATTGATTTTAACCAATTTTTCTAGTTCAAATTTATCACAAAGCGCCTGATTTACTCAAGTCATAGTTGACCGGGCTTTGGTTTGCAATTGGTGTTTTTAGAGTTAAAATCAGGAAATTGAGTCTGACACCGGTGTTGGAGAATTATTCGGGATGATTTGAGACACATTTGAAAGTTGTTGAGAAGTACTGAAGGTCCACGAGGCATTGATAGTATAGAATTGTTGTTGTTTATGTTTGTAATTTTAACTAGTTTTATATGTTGTTGTTTGGAAAATTACACATTTTTGGTGTATTACTTTATTTTTCCTAGTTGTTTGTAATTTGTTTAGATTAGGATTTTTCTAAGCTTAAAATACGTAAAGATCATCAAAAGGATCCTGGGAAGGTCAAGAAAAGTGCAAGGGAACAAGATAATGTGAAAATTGGGAAAATAGTCAAATATCTGGTCGGGTAAAGCATATACCCGATCGGGTATTGACTTCACCCGAATATCAAATCTGATTTGCAAGGCAATTAAACGCGCAGGACGAAGATTTGGCAAGATTTGTCTTTTACCCGATCGGATAAATAAATATAGCCGATTAGGTATGATGTGATTTATGAAGGTTCCGACTTTCGAGTAGTTACTAAGGATACCCGATCGAGTCAATCAATATACTCGATCTCCAAACACCTATATATACACCCCTTTTTCCTTCCCATTTGATTAGTTTACACTTTTAAGCTCAGTTTTAGTCAAGTACTGTCTTTATATTTTTCTAGTATGTTTAGTCTCCAAATAAGGAATTAAACCCTTCCATTCTTGATTTTGCTCTTGAATCTTGTTGAATGTTTATGTTGTGAGTTATTTTCTTAACTTCTTCTCTTAAATATCAATTCTTCCCTTAATCTTATTTCTGTATTAATGTTGGGGTGTTAACGCTTCAACATTAATTATTACTAGAAACGATCAATGAACCGATGATTAACCATTGATGGTTTCACAAGTAACTAACTCCGGGTTGTTAATGCACGGTCGTGGTTAATAAACTTAAGAGGGATTATTTGTGTTGGTTAAACTGAAACCGTTGTGTTGAGGTTATCAATCTTAATTGATTTCATTAAAGAGTTAAAAAGATTAAATGCTACTACTATTAAGTCGGCATATGATGGTGTTCTATATTTGGCTAATAGAAAAAGTTGCTAATGATCAGACTCGTTATTAATAACTACTCTCGATGAATTTGATATGCTCCCCCATTGAGTATTCGAGAGGAAGATAGTTAAAGATATAACCGGGATCGACTAACATCTCAACAAGTGGAAAGAAGCAAAGCCAAGTTCTTTATCTCTTTGAATTAAATTCATATAAGTCATTCAACTTAGTATTTAATTAATTAAAATCAAACAATTCCAAAAAAAACCTTTAATTACAAGTTCCAGAAAAGAGAACTATTCATTTCCTTGTGGATACGAACTATACTACATTATATTATGTATATGTGTTAGTATTGAATTTATTTTAAGGCATATATGACTTTAGTGCTGTCAGGCATTAAAGGAGCGATTTTGAAGTCAAGAGAGCTCAAGGATCAAGTACGGGTATGAACGTGGATTCAAGGAGCATGAAAAAATTCTATCTGGACCACTGCCCAACGCACAACCTTGAATCAGGATGACACTTTGTCAATTGTTTGAGCATATCGTTTAGTAGAAACATCCAAATGAAACGATTCAAGTTTCTTATGAAAGATAACTCAATGGGCTACAAATCATATGAAGACACTATGACGAGAATGTGAGAGGATCAATGTGAAAACAGACTAGGAAGTCAGATAATCGTTGTTGAGGATGCGGTCTTCCACCATTTCATTCATATATTTTGATTGGATGATTCAATTCCAAATTTTCAAGTTGTGGTGGATACAGGACTTCATTAGCTACAACTTTTCTGCAAGATGAATACCCAAATTCGGACAGGAGGTGTGCACTCAATGTGCACGAAGTGTGCATGTCGTGCGCGCTTAATGCTGCTCTCTAGCAGGTGCGTACGATCGTGCGCATGACCGAGAACGACCAGAGTTCGCCCCTAAACTGTTTTTTTCTATTTTAAAAGCCTATAAACCCTAGTTTTACGATTATGATCTTATAGATAAAATCCTTAGATTATCAAGATTCTTGAAGTATATATAAGTTCTCTCTTTTTAATTAATGACAATTCATTATTTCCTTTTCAATTCTGTTGATTGTTCAATTACGAATTGTTAGTAGATTTAATTATGGATTGAGATTGATGAAGGAGTATTAATTATGATTTAGGGTTTAAATGTCAATGGTTTTATAGCGTGATTATTGTTTAATTTGTGGTGTGGGGTTGTTTATGTAGTTGATCAATGTGGCGCGTGTTTGGTTGGTCTTTACACGATGAATAAGCAGGAAGCAGCTTCGCCAGTGTGGCACTGTTGTGGGCCTTGAGTTTCCTGCTCATGCGAAGATCCTCCATATATGACAACCGAGCGAGGAATTGTACTGACATTCATGTAATTTCCATGTTTATGTTTGTGTTTTTAATTAGTTTAGATTGATTGTTACTTTGGAAATTACACACTTTTGGTGTAATAGTTTAGTTTGTAAAATATTTGTAATTTGTTTAGATTAGGTTTATTCTGAGCTCAAACAGGTCCAAGATCACTCTAGGGACCATTGGTGAACATCAAAAGTGGAAGGAAGGTGCAAAATCCCAAGACAAAAATAAAGATCCTGAATTTTTGTGTTGTACCCGGTTGGGTATGACCTATACTCGGTCGGGTACCTTGCTGAAAAATCAAATCCGATCAAATCCGGGAACAAGGCATCATGCGGGAAGATTTTTAACCACGTTCGGGTGTCATACCCGATCGGATGACCGACAGATCCGATCGGGCATGTCCCAATTTTCTGGCTTCCTGGAAGCTCTCTAAGTACCCGATCGAGTGTCTTATAAGCCCGATCGGGTACACATCCCTGCATGCTCCAAACACCTATAAATACACCTCATTTCCTTCCCATTAAAGATACCAATTCCTATACACTTCTAAGCTCA